AAAAGTGCATGTTAGTAGCAGCAACGGATAACAAATTTATAATGTCCAAATTAATATAAGACCTCGTATAAGACTACTTATACAGGGTGAGTGTCCTACGATGTTCTCTATGGGTATCTCGGAAACTATTGGAGATAGAGAGTCGGTTAAATGGGGAAAGAATTGCAGTTTTGTAGGGTCATAAACATGCGCCTTTCAGATTTTTGAAAAAGTTCATGGCTTACTAGGTATTTCGAAAAAAACAAATTTTGGCTATTTTAAAAATTGTCCCTAATTCCATTATAATCTATTTTAGACAGTGATGTAAATTTACCGTAATTTATAATTTTGGTTATTTACGTTATCTGTGAAATCAATCCTGGTTCCGAGGCTGTATTACCGGTGCTTTGAGCATGTGAGTGTTTTACCTTAGGCAGGTTGCTAGCCTTACCTAAGAACCCTCCTCCTTTATCCGGGCTTGGGACCGGCAGTGACAACTGTGAGCTACTCAATCCACCCACAGCTGCCCCAGGCGGAGTTCTATACCCCATGGCAGAAGACCTAGTGGACGACCACCTAAACGTTGGCAAGACAGTTGGCAACCTCGCAAGAGTTGCTTAGACGAGGAGGAAACCGGAACTAAACAGGCGATACGCCTTCTAAAAGAAGAAGAAGGTTATTTACGGTGGTAATTTATGAGTTTCTATTACCAAAATTAATTACCATCGTAAAAAATGTTAAGGGTAAATTACTGTGGTAATCTACCGTAATATATTTTTGGTAATTTACTGTATAAATTACCGTAATTTACGGTAAATTACAAGTAAGTTTGGAATTTATAGAAATTATAAGAAAATTGACAATGTTTCTGTAATGTTTTGCGAAACAAAACACAGTAAATGATTTTGGAATGAAAATACGGGGAGTGGGGTGTAGGTGGCAGGGTGAGGTATATAAGTAGTTACTGTTTGAATTATTTTTTTCTTTAATAAAAAGGGGAGGTATTCATTTTTTGTCATCATTTAATAACAAGAAGAACAGAACAACATAAAACATAGACTCACACTAACACTAACCCAATCCATTTATTCCATACATATTAAAAAAATAAATACCTAAATTACTAAATAACGTAAAAATTCAAGTACAACTACTACATCTAGTCAGCTATCCTTTGCACGTGCAATTCGTCGCTCGAGTGTAAAAAGCCTATTTTTGATTATGCTTATGCCGACATTTTTTTATGCCGGATAGAAAAATGTAAAGGTAACAATTTGTTGCTGTATGTACGGGTAGGTAGAGGGTCATCATGCGTATGAGCGTATGACTAATTTTAGCGTGTTCGCATTAGATTATAATAATATGGTAAATAACAGCCTGAATTAACTGTTTTTGCTATCCAGAAACCTGGGTAATTTACCCGTAAAGTACGAGTAGAATTTATTTGGTAAACTACCAATAAATTATGGAAAATAATCTTTGGTTAATTTACGGTAAATTACCGTAAAGCAACGACGATTGAACTTGTTTCCATGGCTAACTAAGTGAAATTAGTCAAGAAAGATAAGAATTGGCTATAACTCGGTAATTTTGTGAAAAAAAAAACATATAGCTTATATCGCTGAAAAGCTTTAAAAAATGGCGCTTTTTATGAAGTCATGGCCAATGAGGAAAATGCATGTTTTTAAATACTTAATGGTTTTAAAAAATAGTTCATATAATTACGAATTGAACAAAAAAAAATCGTGGATATCGGTTAAGAAATGCCTCTAATATAAAATAATTAAATATTGTTAATTTAAATGGCCGGGCTCTTTACCGCGCCTTGCCGCTGTGACGTCACCCGCCGTTCTTCTGGTTGAGTGGAGCCAGACGCGTGTTTATTTTACACAGTTTGCTTTTAAACCACATTTTAAACGCTGTTGAATCCGAGTCAAAATTTTAGTTATTTGTGTTAATTAATACATAATTAGTAATTAGTGATATTTATAAATAGTAATGGATGAGCGAAAATTGGTGCAAGGCGATGAGAAGAGATGAAAAGAAAAACGTGAAATTGCCCTCTATTTCTACGATTTATTATTGTGAAGATCATTTCGATGTAAGTTCATATATTTATGTATATTGTCTTACATAGGTATATGAAATTTGAATGTGCAGGGTTATTCATTATATTTTGACACCCACCTACAGCCTTAACTGCAAGTTTTAGAAGAAAACATTAAATACAAAAGTTGCAAGGTTTTTCATATACTCTCTGTTTAGAAAGGAAATAAAGAAATTATTGTAATATACTCGAGAAAATAGAAATGCCTGCTAAAATAAAACACGTGGTACGAGGTCGGCTTACCTTGGAGGGTTGTAGTCTTCTCCTGGGTGGCCACCCTGTATCTGGATCAGGAACAACTACTTGCACGAGTAAACGGTACCGAATTGGTAGGACCTTTTGAAGATTTAAAATAAAGTTATTTGCGGCGGCGGCGGTTAGCACGTTGAATTGATCTTTCGATAGATGCGGTTCTTGCGGGATCTTTCGATCAAGTGTGTTGTGGTCCAAGGTTAATTGACGCAGGCGTGTTTCAGCCCTTTGGAATAACCTCCCTAGTACCACATATGCGTATACAATAAATAATAGAATAAATTAATATTGAATTTAAAATTAAAAGAGATAAAATTAAATATATTTTGAGAGTTTCCTAAACACTCTCTTTTAAAAATAATTCTAGTTATATAGGGTGTCTCAAAAAAAGTTGTTCCAGAATATTGTAGGTATTTTTCGTGCATAATTTCCTATACCTATCTTCAACTGTTTACGAAATATTGACAGTTGAAAAGCGGCCATTTTAACACTTTGATAAGCTCTAAAATCTGAACCAAATGAGATCGGGGAAAATGGTTTGCATATTCCTATCCTAGTTTTTCATAAGCTACTGAATGATACTAACTTCGAATTTAAGCGGAACAAAAGTTAAAGTTAGTGTTATTAGATAGCTTATGAAAAACTAGAGTAGAAATGTGCAAACCTTTATCCTCGATCTCTCTTGACTTAGATTATAGAGCTTGTCAAAAAGGAAAATGGCCGCTTTTCAACTGTCAATATTTCGTAAACATTTGAAGATAGGTATAGGATATTATACATGAAATATATCTAGAATATCTAGAAATTTCCGAAGAATCCAAAAATATATAGGGTGTTTCGCTTAAAAAAGTAACTTAATTTTGGTGTTTGCTTATGGGACACCTTGTATAATATTAATTCATTACTGATAAAAAATCAATTAATTTCCTATAATTTCGTAAAAAAAACAATCTTTAAAAATAACAAGGATAAGGGGGGTGTCAATATACAAAAAAAACTTTCTTTTTCACGCTATGCTCTGGAGTTATTTTTCCACTAAACAAATATTTTTGTCTCTTTTCACCTTCTACATAACCTACAGCATTATCTCCATACGTCTCCCTACCTGATCTGAAAAATAAGTTTATAACATTAATTTATAACTATATAAAAGTTCGTAACAGTAGGTACCTACTTATACTTAAATATGCCTCAGTAGTACAAAGAATAAATGTTACATACCTCTCTGTTTTTTTCCTCGTAATTCAGCACCAATAAATTGGGAATTTGTATTTATAAAAGCAGCCAACATAAAAGCATCGACTTTTGGCAAGTTATCTGATTGTGCTTTTACAAAACCGGAATCTGCCATCACTTAAAAAATTCTCAGAACACACAACACACACAAATAATAACTGCACAATAAAAGCATAAAAAGCTCCTTCAATCAACGCTAAAAGCAAAAAAATGAGTACGCCACCTAAATACGTACATAAACGGAACACGTCTGGCTGCTGCTGGCGCGCGTCGACGAGAACGGCGGGTGACGTCAGACCAATAGAATATCGTTTCAATTCGCGAGACGTCGTTTGCGTTATCCATAGTATTTTAATGGTCCGTTTTATAAAATTGTGGTATTTCTTTCAAGAAAAAAGTTTTTTTTGCATTTACACATATTTATTCTAATAAATTGAACAGTTTCTGACGAAAAATTAAATATATGCATCTTCCTCATTATGGTTTCCATTTAAAAAAACATATATTTGTGTCATATGTCAAAAATGGCTTTAGAAAAAATCGGAGAACACAAACTCTTTACGGATGTGATTGTCTACAACTTTTATCTGAAAACTTTTTGTCTAAAATAGATTATAATGGAATTAGGGACAATTTTTAAAATAGCCAAAATTTATTTTTTTCGAAATATGTAGTAAGCCATAAACTTTTTCAAATATCTGAAAGGCGCATATTTATGACCCCACAAAACTGCAATTCTTTCCCCATTTAACCGACTCTCTATGTCCAGTAGTTTCCAAGATACCCATAAAGAACATCGTAGGAAACTCACCCTGTATACAAAATCTGTTCGATACGTTTTTTTACGTTTTTTTAAAGCTTACTTAAAGTTTGATACTTTTATTTTATACTTTCTGAGCTACGATAGGTTTAATTTTTTTGTAAAATTAGGGTGATGAACTCGATTTCTGTTATCTATTTTTAATACACTTACCTTCACTAACGGCAAATACATATAGCAAAATAAAACTTATATTAATGCTAATAAAGAAACAATCTGCTACTAAAGTGACAGCAAAAAACGTTGGACACTAATTGCTTTATCTAGTAATTTTTTTATAGAAATATAAACAAATTTTTGTGACCTGAAGGCATTCCAGGTAATTTTTTGCTTTTTTATATTTTTATATAAAGTACGAATATTTTACTGCTAAAATAACCCATTTTTTAAATTCGAATTTAAATTTGGATTTTCGTCTTTTTGTCCATGGGCCGCAACACTGTGCATCGTATCAACGGATAACGGAGCTTAGTGTAATCTGCACATGACAAGCACCGTACAATATTGTATTTCTAACAGAAATACAATATAAATGTGTATCTTTGTGTTAATTAATAAAGTTAATAATTATAGATTAATAATTAAAGCTAAGTTAATTATTTTCAGCTTGTCCTATAAAGACGTTTAAAAGTATCAACAGATTCTCTACTTTCGAAATATTTTTTTTGTGAGAAAGAAAATGTTTCGCCTTCCTGTAGAGATATGGTCTTTAATATTTAAAGATCTCTGGAGAAGTGATTTAATAAATTTTTGTGAAGCTTTTAACGAGCTGGACTACTTGCTGGGAGAAAATATAATCAAGTATGACTACCACATTCTTGTGACTACTAATATTCGATTGATGAACTCTACAGGGTCCGGCAATAGTGCGTCGGGCATCGGTAGCTCCTAAAATAAAAAAAAACTGGGGAAAATCTAGTGCAAACCTAAAGTATGTACGAGGATGTATTTCAGGAAAATATTTTAATTTCTATAGGGTGGCTCAAAAAAGCGGGATGATTTTTTTAAAATGGAACACCCTGTATATTATTGCATTTTTGGCTTCCTTTCAGATCACTTTACATAATCCTATGATATGATTAAATATTTTTCGATAGTTTTAAAAATATTAATAAATAAATACAAAAAATATATATTAGCCTTTTTTAAGAAAATGATTAAAAAATACAAGAATTGTCCTGAAATCAAAACTGTATTAGGTATATATTTACTTTAGATGGTCTGCACTTATTTTGCTATAAATACGGTAATGGAAATCATACAGGATGTTCAAAATTCTATATCAAGCTTTATGAACATTTTTTGTATTTAAAGTATTTTAAAATTTTTAATGGTTTCGCAGATACACGAAGTATTATTTCATATGGCTCCTTCAACGGTAAAATAGGAGAGAAAAATTATTGGGTGGCTTTGATAAAAATTTACTGTGGAAAATGCCATATGAAATATAAAACCGTGAATATCTGCGAAACAGTTAAAAATTTTGAAATCCATTTAAAAAAAAACGAAGAAAAAATATTTTATATTTAAGAAAGTTTGACATAGAATTTTTAACATCCTGTATGATTGACGATTACCATATTTATAGCAAAGTAGGTGCAGACCATCTAAAGTACATACCTAATATAGTTTTGATTTTGGACAGTTCTTGTATTTTTAATATTTTTTTTAAGAAAGGCTGAAAAATACACAGGATGGCGCACCTCATTCGCCTCGGTTGATTATACGAAAACGGAAAGATGTAGAGAGAAAATATTTTATAGGTATATGTGGGAAGGCAATGTGCACAATTTAAAATTATTTTGAAATGTATAGGGTGTGTCAGAACTAAGATCCATACCAAAGTTATATTTTTTCTTATGAAACACCAGGTATTTTATTTTATTTTTGGATTCTTGGGCATAAAATAAGGCATTTATTATAAGGGTTTAATATGTTTAAATGCTTTGGTTTTTGAGATATTTAAAGATTTTTAAATTGCATGCTATAATAAAAAAGTTTGTCAACACCCTGTACATTAATTTTCAGAGTTAATTCTTGTGCTCACTTTGAAGCCAGAGAAATAAACTTTACTAAAAAACTCTATTGCTTTCTAAAATGTATACAGGGGTATCAAAAATTGCTGGTCTATTTTAAATATTTATTTTACATAAAAACTTCGTTATAATACTATGTATTTTTTTAAATAAGTCGAAGCAGATTTAAATGCTTTTTCAAACTATATTAGGGTTTCCTATACCTATCTAGCTCAGATTTTGAATAAAAAGCAATTTTTCAATAAAATGGCAATCAAGAAGTCTGGTGTCGCCATGGCAATTTGCTAGTGACAGTAGCTATTTTGAAAATCGACATTTGTTTATGGACTTCATTTAAATTTATAACAGTTTACTTTTATTTAATTTACTTACAATAGTTTAATAAGTATTTATTATTTTCGTATATATATATGTATTTATTTATTATTTATTATTCATCAATGAGAGGTTTCTGCCTAATAGGTTTTTCATATACCACACTATCAGCTCGATAGTTTTTCAAGGAACGCTTGTCAAGAAAATTCCTATTTGTATATCTTTGAGCATAAACCCTTCAGGCCACATAAAATATGTGTCCTCACAAAATGTTTGTGGGTTATTACAAAATAAAATCATTAGTAAACATATCCATTTCTTCCGCCAGCAGATACTGCTTCATTTTTCTTGATAAAATAATAAATACTTACTTATTAACTTTATTGTAGGTAAATTAAATAAAAATAAACCTGTTATATAAATTTAAATAAGGTCCATAAACTAATATCGATTTTGAAAATAGCTACTAAGTGTCACTAGAAAATTGCCATGGCGACGCCAGCCATCTTGATTACAATTTTATTGAAAAATCGCTTTTTATTCAAAATCTGAGCCAGATAGGTATAGAAAACCCTAATATAGTTTGAAAGAGCATTTAAATCTGCTTCGACTTATTTAAAAAAGTACATAGTGTTGTATTTGAAATAACGAAGTTTTTGTGCAAAATAAATACTTAAAATAGACCAGCAATTTTTGATACCCTGTATACATTTTAGGAAGCAATACAGTTTTTTAGTAAAGTTTATTTTTCTGTCCTAAAACTCAGCACAAGAATTAATTCTGAAAAGTAATGTACAAGGTTTTGACAAACTTTTTTATTATGGCATGCATACTTAATTATCTTTAAATATCTCAAAAACCAAAGCTTTTAAACATATTAAACCCTTATAATAAATGCCTTATTTTATGTCCAAGAATCCAAAAATGAAATAAAATACCGGGTGTTCCATAAGAAGAAATATAAAAAAAAACTTTGGTTTGCTAGATCTTAGTTCAGACACACCCTGCACATTCCAAAATAATTTTAAATTATGCACCATTACCTTCCCACATATCCCCATAAAATATTTTGTTTCTACATCTTTTCGTTTTCGTATAATCAACCGAGGCGAATGAGGTGCGCCAACCTGTATATTTTTTATTTATTTATTAATATCTCTGAAACTATCGAAAAATATTTAATCATATCTTAGGATTATTAAAGTGATCTGAAAGGAAGCCAAAAATGCAATAATATACAGGGTGTTCTATTTAAAAAATCATCCCCATCCACTAACACTTTTTTGAACCACCTTGTAGAAGTTAAAATATTTTCCTGAAATACATCCTAGTACATACTTTAGGTTTGCAGTTGAATAAAATTCCCAGGTTTTTCGTTCTAGGAGCTACAGATGCCCGACTCACTATTGCCGGACCGCGTATTTCCATAATATACCATGTAGAGAGCATAAGGTCTCTAAACCTCGTCCCCAAGCTTAGTTCAATAGTGAAGATGTCTCTAACGCGGTATAGAATGAAATTGTGGGAAATGCGCCAAAATCGGGTATAATTCGTAGTTCACAGTCGCATTACTGGCGTAACTTTTGATAGCATAAACAGTAATTTTCATTTACGTAAAATAGTATATATCTGTTCTTTATCATTACATTAAAAACATAATAACAAATATAAAACAAAATATCAACAAAAAGAACATTTATTTATTAAATAATGTATATAGTATATTAATTTCTTTAAAATATAAGACACTTAAAAGAAAAAAAAAATAATAAACATTGCTATTTCCGGCTGTTAAACTGCAATGCTTAGTCTTAATTACAAGTAATAAAATAGTAATGTTTTTTTGGCATTTGGAGTATTTTCGGTAATATTTTTGTTGAAGCTATTTTTTTTTCTTTTTGAGTCTGTTCTCTTCTGAAGGCTTTCCTGATGTGCCTTTTTTTGCGAGCGCAAATCACAAGTTCTTCTGGATAAAACTGGTTGTACTTTAATACACTTGGTTTTTTTACAGTTTATTGTGATATTTGTAGAATTGTTTTTAACTGCCGCTATGTATCAATATTTAATGATGTGACTATATTATTAAAGCATGTTAATATTTCTAGCATCTGATTACTTTTCTATTTCTGTGTTATTTTTCTATATTTGTTTTCTATAAAACATGCTGAGCTTCAAAACTTTTTTCTCTAAATCTTTGAGGTCCGACAAATAATATAAGTCTAGCGTTACTTACAGCTGTTAACTCTTGTGAAGCTGAACCATTATACATATCGAGCATTTTACTTCATGTTTTGTTAACATAATCTCTAACACACTGTTTTCTGATGCACCTAATGCTTGTTGACAATTTGCGGTCGCAAACTGGCTAATTCAACGCAAAATACAAGAAGTCACTAAGAATACACGCGTGGCTTATATCACGTTGTAACGCTGAGAACTCTACTCAATACTATACCGCATTTGCCACCATTATCCTATTCCATTCTATACCGCGTTAGAGACGTTTTCAATATGTCTTCAGTGCTGAAATAAGCTTGAGGGCGGGGCTTAGAGACCTTATGCTCTCTACATGGTATATTATGGAAATACGCTGCCGGACCCTGTATATACTGAAGGTATTTTTGTTTTAAGGAAATTTGATGCGCAAGGAAGCTACAAGTTTGCTGATGTCAATTTCGTTAAATATATGTTTGAAAACGTGCAATATCATCATATCAGGGCTTTAAACATAAATAATCTTTACTGGGTACCGCTAGATGATTTAAGAAATTTACTGAGCTTTTTACCTAAATTAGAAGAACTATATGCCTTGGAAACTAATTTAGGTTTAAAAAGAGAAGATGTGAAACTTTATGGAAATGTATGTACAATGTATATTCCTATTTTATTATCGCAGAATTATTTTATATTTTAGCTTAGGGCATTAGCGGTTTGTGTATCACGAAATGATTATAATAAATCAGATAGCCTTGACAATAATTTAGTAAAGGATCATTTGTGCCATGTGCAGAGATTTTGTCTTAAATTTACAGTGGAAGTGCGACACCGAGATTTAATTGAAGTTTTTACAAACATGTCTGCTTTAAGAGAAATATGGGTAATATGTGTTTTTATAGAATGTTCAGGCCATCGTTAAACGTCACGTCGTATATTGTCGAACTCTCTCAATTACTTGACAACCAGATGAAAGATTGGGGACGTTGGGCACGTTCAGGGAACACAGCCGCTGACATTCAGCGTAGAATTTCGCTGACCAGCAGCTTACGATATTCTCTAAACAGCACAAAGCAGCAGAAAGAACAAGAAAGAGTACCTGTCTCATGCGCTCTCTGTCTAGTATAAAAAATTGAGAGAAATATAAATAAATCGTCTTCGTCAAATCGGTCTATAATCGATCGAATAAAAATTATTTTGAAAAATAAAAAATTACTGACTGATCATTTAATAAATGAAAATATATTATTTGACAATACAACATTAAATTTCTAAAAATAACAGTTTATAAATAATTTTACTTATACACCTAAACAAAACAACTTAAAATAACAGGAACTGGCACCTTTTACGCATTTTTTTTGAAGGTATGGTACAAATAAAATTACTGAAGGTGTGTAAATACCCTACAATAAAAAAAACGACGCCAGGGGTGATGTGGAGGTAAATATTGCTGTTATTTTATAAGTAAACTTATATAGGGAATATTATCGATCGTCATTTCTAAGCCAATTGGGGGCAATTTTTTTTCGATCAGACGGTATAATTACAATCAAAAGTTTTTTATCCTGATCTAGATTTTTTCAGAGTAGTACGAGTTTTTTTTTTAATTTCATTGTATTTAAAAAACTCGACTTGAGATGGAAATCAAGTAGAATTTTCTTTATTTCTTTAACTTCCTCGATCTCTATTTACAATTATTGTCTTTTTCGAACGTTTTAGATTAACCTACTGCTCTGTAACTTTTTTGACAACAAATATCTCCTATTTTTTAAGGATTCTATTAACTACGATCCACTATAAACTTCAACAAACCATAAAAAGTAAACTGAGAAAATTAAAGTTATTTTACATTAATTGACCACAGATAAGGAAATAGATTAAGGCTGACTTGTCTCAGCCTAAATATTAGAAGTGTCTATCGGGAGACTTTCATCCGAGTTCTACGCATGCGCAGTAAGCATATTTCTGTTGATGTATCTAATCTCAAAATAATACACATGCACAATTTGGCACAAATTGTGTAACAAATTAGATAATATATATATATATATATATATATATATATATATATATATATATATATATATATATATATATATATATATATATATATATATATATAATATAATATATATTTATATTATAATATAATATAAAAATAAAATCATCAAATAAAAGTATCAATAAATGATTATGAATTTATGTTTTTAATGTATATGAATGATAATATTATGATCCGATCACAATGATAATACCTTACTTCACAATCTCCATTAAGTATCTTTCTTCTATTTTACACATAATTCACATCATTGGAATTTTGATATTCGTCAATATAAATCTAAAAATTTTAAAATATAAAATTAATCATAGAATTTGTATTGTTACTGTACCAAAGATACTGTTGCTACATTTACCTGAAATAGGAGAAAATCGAGTAGAATGATATCATAACTCCATGCTGTTTTTGAAGATGCGCTAAAAGACCTTTATCAGTAGGAAAGGATACAAAGCAGCCTTCTAAACATTTATAAATATTTAACTGTCCTTTATACACAACTTCAGTGAAAAAGAGATTAGAAAAAACAAGGTTAGAAAAAATATAAAATAAATATAAATAAATAGTATTTATAGAAATATGGCAACATCTGCTACCTGCGCATGCGTAGTATCAATGATGAAAGTCTCCCGATAGACACTTCTTAAATATTTACCGCTGAAAATTTTGCACAGCGGCTGACTATTGCTGTTCGTCAGAATAGACCGTTTAGGGAAATCGCTTACTCAGCCGCTGACCGTCCTTGAACGCGCCCGTTATTACTGCTTTTTAGTAATTGTCATTGTCATTTGATTTGGGGTTATAATTTTACCATTATAATTTCACAGACATCGTCAATGTTAAAATTAAAATTTGATTGTTGCTGTAAAACAAAATCAGAAAACATCCCCCTTTAGAACTTCATCTGTCATACTAAGAAATGAGAGTAAATAAAGCGCCTCTTGTGTTTGTTCGCATACTAAAAATTTCAGCTAATGCCTGTATACATATTTCTTTAATATAAACTCACCGGCAAAAAAAATCGGCCACTAAAAACTAGACCCAATTTCAAAGTTGGATTTCTCGCGAATCACTCATTAGATTTTGATGATTTTTTTTTAATTATATTATATATATTATTTTTTTAATTATAAAGTTCCTTTTTAACGGATGCTACGTCAGAAATTTTTATTCCGAATTTATTTTGACCATATACAGGGCACAACAATAAGACGAAGTTTTTTGCCCGAAATTTGTAACACCCTGTAGGGTGAAGCAGCGGAAGTAGCTATTGCTAAATCACATTGTAGCCTTATCTTTTGTGAGCATTTTGTTTTTTTAATCACCACATTATCTCTTTTTGTATTGGAGATATGATGTTTTAAAACGAACATCTCGGTGATTTAGCAATAGCTACTACAGCTGCTGCACTCTACAGGGTGTTACAAAGTTCGGGCCAAAAACTTCGTTTTATTGTTGTGCCCTGTATATGCTCAAAATAAAGATAGATAGTTAGATAATAGTTTATTAGTTCTAAGTATAATAACAGATGTTACATACAAATACCCCGAAGGTCAAAATGTCAAAAATGTTCATTATTACTATGAATAATAAAAAATAATTAAATTAACAGAGAAGTAAGAAAATATATAATCATATCCATGATATATCATTAGTAGTTAACAAACAAAAAATACAGAAAAAGGAGAAAACAATTTCCAAATTTATATTAATAACAAATTAATCCTGTCATTGTCGTGGTAATAATCGTCCACTGAATAGAACGCTTTACTTATCAAGTACTTTCTAACTGCTGTTATTATTAATAAGTTTATAGGAAGCAAGCGAACAGTTTCAGACACTATTATATAGAGATATTGAGGAGTTCTTAACATTTTTCTGAATATAACTAAAGTTACACCTCTCACTCATTACTATTAGCTTATTCCTTGTATCATAATCATGCTCTAGCCTATTATGATTAAAAAGGTCTTTATTCTCACGAACAAACAGTATTGCAATTCAATATATAAAGGCACACTACAGTTAAAATGTTGTTTTCAATAAATGTTTTCTTACAACTTTCTCGATATTGAAGCTTGAAAATATTTCTGATGCATCCCTTCTGTATCACCAAAACTCTCGAAATGTCAGTTAAATTTCCCCAAAAAATGATCCCATATTTTAATGTAGACTGTACAGGGTGGGTCAAATTCGACGCTTTTAAATGGAAACAACCTTTTCTATAGGAGATAGACAAAAACTAATATCGGTGTCTGGAGCTCAATTTTTGTCAAAAACATGATGGTAAAAACCGCATATCGATATCTGTTACCGTTTCGGAGTTACGGGGTGTTTTTCAAAAATATGCATTTTTAACAAATCGCTGTAACTTTTTTGCTATGGAAAATTTTGTATTTTTATGCAAACATTTCCAAAGCACCTTTTTACGTAGAATTTAATGGTTTAAGTATAATTTTTTTAAAATTAATAATTTAAGAATTATGAACAGAAAGTTTGATTTTTTATATGGGACACCCTGTATATTTTTAATTAGCTGAAAAGAATTTAAAATTACCTTTCCAGAAATATAGCACACTTGATATTTTGTTATAATCCCTTTCGAAATACAGATTTTTTAAAAGTTCGCCACTTTTAACTAGTAGGCTTTGGACCCCTCATTGATGATATGCCCTTAAAGGAACTCGAAAACATATTTTTCCAGCAAGACGACGCACTGTCTCTGAACGCTGAAGTTATCAGCAAATTTCTGCAGCCAATTTCAAGAATAATTGAATAGCTGACCAAGAACCCAGCCGTTGGCTGTCGAGGCCGCCTGACTTAGTGCCCATTGATCTAATCCTATGGATATATTTGCGGAAGAATAAAGGTTCCTTATTCTTCTGTATAATCTAGACAAGAATTAGAAATACTTAGCAGTTATGAGAGGGTATCTTTCACCCCCACTGAGTTAATGAATTTCGCAAGAAATGTTCAAAAACTGCCCCGTCTGTCCATAACAGAAGACGGTCGATATGTCGAACACCTGTAGCAAAATCTCATGTCCTGGTTTGCTATTTATTTTTATTGTTATGAGATATAGTTTAAATCTGTTGATGTTGGTTAAATATATTTTAAATTGTTATAAAATTCTGCATCTCTCATAGCAAATATTATTTTCGTTTTAATTGATGCTCACAGCTAGAATTTTTTTGCATTACAGCCGGTGCCGTTCAAAGCCTACTTATTTAGCGGGCGAATTTTTATATACTCTATATCTCGAAGAGGAATCGAGCAAAATATCAAGTGTGTTATATTTTTGGAAAGGTAATTAAATGATTTTCAATAAATTAAAAATATACAGGGTGCCCCATATAAAAAATCAATTTTTCTGTTGATAACTCTTAAATTATTAATTTTAAAAAAATTATACTAAAACAATTAAATTCTACGTAAAAAGGTGCTTTGGAAATGTTTTCATAGAAATACAAAATTTTCCATAGCAAAAAAGTTACAACGATTTGTTAAAAATGCACATTTTGAAAAACACACCCGTAACTCCGAAACGGTAACAGATATTGATGTGCGGTTTTCACCATCATGTTTTTGATGAAAATTGAGCTCCAGACACCGATATTAGTTTTCGTCTATCTCCTATAGAAAAGGGTGTTTCCATTTAAAAGCGTCGAATTTGACCCACCCTGTACATAAGCATGATATATGCAGTTATAGCTGCTTCCGTTCTAACATTTTCCGCAAGGGCATAACTATATCTGGCAATCCCCGCAGAGACTTTGGATACATGAGCCCTCCAATCCAATTTTTTGTCCACAAGCACACCC